GGTTTTAAAAGAAAGAAAATTCTTTATCGCAAATATACCTTAATTTTAGCTTAATTAGAAGAAAAAACCCAAACTTTTGCAAACCTCGTCTACACCTTTTTTCCTCATTTTCGACTATTTTTGGACCAAAATGGCCTTCACAGTAGTTGTATTACCGTGAAGAACATTACAGTACTTTAAAGACTGTAATAGTTAGTGCATTTTATAAGGTACTTTAAGTACTGTAATACTTAGCCATTTTATACGGTACTTTAAGTACCCGTAATACTTAGGGCATTTATATAGTACTTTAAGTACCGTAATACTTAAGGCATTTTATACGGTAGTTTATACACTGGAATTTCATAGGCATCTTATACAGCAAATTTAATATCGTAATATCTCGAATGTTTATTAATGTATTCGAACTACGGTAATTATCTCCCGCCCCTTTTTAAGTCGATTTCTATCGTAAAACCTTATTTTCACGATTTCTTTATTATAAACTTCTCTTTTCTCATCTTCCTTAACCTCCTCTCTCTCTCTCATCCATTGCTCATCGTACTTAACCTCCTCTCTGTCTCTCTCTCTCATCCATTTAGCTTGTAAGCAATAATAATAGGTGACAACAGAGTGAAAATCATTTTACACATTGGTGGTTTTTTCAATAGGGAATCTAATGATGGATGTATTTTCTATGACGTTGGGGATATGAAAGTTATATTTCTTGGGAAGATCCCATCATTTGACCAAGTAAAAGATCACTTGTCAAAAGTATCAAATTATGCCTCAAGTAATATGACTATTAGGTATATTGACCCAGGGTTATCAAGTGAATATGATACATATTAATGGTGATGATGACAATGCAAATGTGGTGGAAGGGTCTTCTCCCATCGCTATGTATGTATCAAATAGACCTATTGAGTCCAACTCCATTGAATATCGACCACCAACCGTGCCTGATAATGGTTCATCAAGATTGGCCATGGAAGAAGTTTGCAATAAAATTCATTATTTTTTTATTTATCAATATTTTGTTATGGGTTAGGATAATTCTCAATTGTTCTTCAAATTTTATTTCAATAGCAGTTTCCGACCAAAGCATGTATCAAATAGACCTATTGAGTCCGACTTCACTGAATATCAACCACTAACAGTGCTCGATAATGGTCAAGCAAAATTGGTCCTGTAAGAAGTTTGCAATGGATTTCATTATTATTTTTTATTTATCAATATTTTGTTATGGGTTAAGATAATTTTCAATTGTTCTTCAAATTTTATTTTGATAGCAGTTCCCGACCAAAGCACGTATCAAACTGACATATAGAGTCCGACTCCACTGAATATCAACCACAAACAATGCCTGATAATAGTCCATCAAGATTGGCCATGTAAGAAGTTTGTAATGGAATCCAATGTTTTTTTTTATTTATCAATATTTTGTTAATTAGGATAATTCTCACTTGTTCTTCAATTTTTTTTTCCGACAGCAGCTCCCGATCAGAGCAATTAGTTCACAGTGAAGGTGTTGTTGTCATAGGCGTAGAAGATGAGCATGATTAAGAAATCGAGCGGCATATCGATGACATCGATCCGATAGAAAGCCCCTTCTAGATTAATCGTTACGAAGTTGTACTTCGACAGGGTTGGGATTTTGCTGACGTACATACATGCCGTAATCATCTTATTGATTATGCCATATCACAAAGCTTCAATATGAAGTTTATAAAAAACTAGGAGAAACATGTTTGGGTGAGCTGTGCTGCAGATGAGTGTTCATGGGAAGTACGCTATTGGAGGGTTAATACAACAAACTTCTTCAGGGTGAAGAAGTTTGTAAACATACACTCATGTGCAGACGGAATAGGTAGGGTTCATCAGCTGCTTGCCCGAAGCCATTGGGTGGCAAGCAAGATCAAAGATCGTTTGAATGATATGCCCAATATAGCACTTGGAGATGTGGTTAATGATATACAATGTGATCACGATGTCATGCTATCTTCCCAAAGAGCATGGCGGGGCAAATAGGTTACATAAGAGAAAAACGAGGGTTCTCATGTGAAGGTATACGAGGATCTCGCTAAGTACCTTCATAAGATCCGAATCACTAACCCTAGAACCATAACGATTATTCAAACAAATGAATATGATATGTTTGAGCATGTATTTATAGGCAATTATCCATGTTTGTATGGTTTTATGTATGGTTGCGAGCCACTGATGGGACTTGATGGGACATTTTTGAAGGGAAGATACAAGGGGATACTATTGACTACAGTTGAGGTCGATGCGAATGAAAATATATTTGCTATAATATATGTAATGGTTGAGAGTGAAAATACACCAAGTTGGATTTGGTTTCTAGAGCTTCTCAATGAACAGTTTGACGAGAAGCCAGATTTGCCAGCATGGACTATTATCTCAAATCGTAAGAAAGGGTTACAAGCTGCAATTGAAAAAGTATTCCCAACCAGTGAACAAGGTTATTATATGAATCACC